CCGTAAGACTCGAGTTTGTGGAGCAGCGGGACGTGTGGGACCCTATCAAATGCTTTTGAGAAGTCGAAAAATATGGCATCCGATATGAGTCCTTCGTCCTTGGCTTGGGTTAAGCTGTCCATAAACACGAGCATGTTTGTCACGCAAGAACGGTTTGGGAGAAATCCGTGTTGAGCTGGAGATATCAGATTGCTGGAAGTAAGGTGATCTAGGATGGCTCGCTTCAGAATGCGTTCCATCAACTTGCACGGCACGCTAGTGAGGCTTAGTCAACAGGTTTTCACCCTTGACCCTGCTAAAGCGGCGTGGACATGTTGAGAGGATTTTCATACTCAGAGTGAACACTTACACCAGGCGCAATTTTTTCTCATTTCAGGAATCCACTTCGTGGAGTAATCTCCCTTCAACGGTTGTCCACACTGCATCTGGTAGTCAGTTCAATGCAATTTTGGACGCATTTGTTGTTGGGGCCTCGCACTGGTAATACTTCCTTCACACACAGAAAACATAGAGAGCAGCGTCGCACGCTTTTTCCGCTTGCTTCTTTAGGTGGATAGAAGCTCCTGAATGACAGCAGCACGCCCGACCCGGAAAATTCCGGCGAATACCTCGATCTTGCAAATCCGTTAAACCGTGTGAACTGACCTTGGCTATCCGGTCGCGCTGCTTACAACAGTTACGACACGAGCGTTATGTCTAGAAAGTCCGTGGATCATCTGACGCAAGACGTGGCTAAAATTGACTTGTATAACCCGAAGCCGATACTCCTCCACGGCTATGTTCTACCGTTTGTCGTGTTGTACGCCGTCTGGCTTGGCTACTGGACGAGCGTTCTCGGCGTCACGGACTACCTCGAATTGGGTTTAATAGTCACTGCTGTCATAGGGGTGCTTCAGATTCTTACATGTCTTTTTTGTCACTGGTTTGTCGGATTCAAGTGTCTCGTTACCTGCTACAAGGTAATCACAACCTCAGTTCTTCAGCGAGTCACTTAATTTATAGGTGCAGCGACCAGGTGAAGCTCAATATGCTAAAGTAGTTCCTACGCCAAATAACGGCTGCACCACACTGGTACAAGTTCTGCATGGAAAGGTACTCACATAGTTCATGAACCCGTATCTTTGGTTACAGGAACTTTCCACAGGAGCCTCGAGGCATTATTTCTACTTCCAACGTCTGAAGTATAACTTTCTCAACGAAGATAAGGATAGCATCAGTGAAGTTAACTTCCCCGTTGACTGGAAGGTTTCCAAATACCTTAATTGGCGAGGTTACGAAACGACTCAGGATGTGTCGACTGCCGAAGAATCATATGGGCACAATGAGTAACTTCATTGAATTTCATTTTATCTCCCTGCACAGGTTGCATCTTAACGTTCCGACGTTTGCGGAATTGTTCAAAGAAAGGGCGACCGCGCCTTTTTTCGTGTTCCAAGTTTTTTGCGTCGCGTTATGGTGTCTAGACGAATACTGGGTGTATCCGATGCTAACTCTCTCAATGCTGTGTTTATTCGAGGCTGGCTTGGTACACCAACAGCTAAAAAATATGACGGAGATAAGATCGATGGGAGCCAAACCCTACCACATATATGTGAGTCTTTTTTTGCAATGTAGTTGTATCATTGGATTTTTCATCAACCATTTCATCCCGGTGAAATTTTTGACCGTTCGGCATATGCTCCGAAGATTAAGTGCTTGACACCATAATTGTAGGATTGCTCCTGGTGACCTAACCGAATAACGATCGCTTTTGTGCATAATAAGGGCATTTTAACGTTGAGGCTTTGGACTGCAAATCTTCGTGCGTTTCAACAATGCCGTAATATGCCGTTGGAAACCACCGACAATGGTGGGAGGTTTGCCGTAGGAACTCGAGGCAGGATAGCTGAAATGCGAGGCTTACTCGTTCTGAATTAACCTGTGGAGTTAAATCGAACGATTTTGGACCTCCTAAACTCTACTAACAGCTAAAAATCCAAATCGTTCCCTGACCTACAAGCCTCCGGCTGTCTATTTACGCGTTTACCTGCTATTGAGATAAGTTTCCAGCAGGGGACCGGTTTACAGAGAAACCTGCAAATTATAAGATTAATGGATTGTCAGTTAAAAATTTACGTATGTGTGCCGTGCCTTAACTGACCACATCATCAATCTCCCTTCCCGACGCACATTTCTGGGGCTGCGGATGGTGCGGGTACTGGATATGTCGGGATCAAATTTGTGTTGAGCCACCGAGTAAAATCATCTTGACTCGACTGGGAGCTCATTTGGTAGTCGCGTCTGCGTAGTTTCTTTGATGGGGTTTGTGCGACAGTCTCGGAAGAGGCCCATGGCCCCTTGCTTATCGTCCTTTTGTGTACCGATGAAAGGGCTTAGGGTCTGCCAGATGCTACTTCAGTGAGAACCCAGGTGTTGGCTTTCATCGGGCTCAAAACTCATCCGTTGGGCGCCCTGGTAACATGAGTACGCAGCTATGTGGGCTTAGCGATGTAAGGGCTCATCGAACTGGTCATTTTGGACTGGAAATGAGGCACAGGGACAAAGGGTGAAGCTTACACCCAATGTGGTAACCACAAACCAAATCCATGAATAATTAAAGCTTGACTACATTGTTCCCACGAACGCATCGGCCCTTGACCCCAGGAGACCGTATGATCATCATTTATTGATGTAAAGAATTACTCTATTTCTACCACTCTTGGAATGCCTGTTTGAACCTCTGTGCCATTGATGAGTTCATGGACTGAAGAATCAAAGTTATCAGAACCGGCTTCTGTAAAGGTTGCCAGCTAACCGAATGTAGGATGTCATGTGTCTCAGGAGCGAGCTCTCTGAAGCCGCACTGAAGCAGGGACTTCTGATGCAATGCAATCCAACCTAAAGTTTTAATAAGGCTGTAGCTTTGTCGGAGTTTCAGAACCCCCGGTAAATTCCCACCCGCAATTTTTTACGAGGTGACGTTGGTTTTACGGACACATTAGAATAACAATAAAACGGAAAGAGCAAACATGCTGAAAGTGTTTACGGATTGTTCGACATGATGCGTGCAACGGTTCCTCGGGAATCTTTCAAATGAAACCATCAGGCCCCACGGTAATTCTATGACACCCAACAAAAAATATGTAAAATGTCAATTCAGCTGACCACTTGCTACTTGCCTTTCGATATGTCTGATTTCGGCGACCCATTGAGCCATACCGGGGGGTTGAAACCATCCCACGGTAATTCTATGACACCCAACAAAAAATATGTAAAATGTCAATTCAGCTGACCACTTGCTACTTGCCTTTCGATATGATATGTTTCGGCGACCCATTGAGCCATACCGGGGGGTGTCCGCACGACACTCACAGAGTCTCTCATACCAGGTTGGTCAATGGTTAGAGGTCTGACGAACACAGTCTCCTGGTCCTCCAGGTTGGGGGTTGGAACATGTATGGCGACTTGTTCCGTAGAAAAGGTAATGCATTTCCATTTCCCCGTCAAACGCCGCTGCCTTGCGGTTAGGCTTTTGAGCCAAAGGCTTTGGTTGAGGACCCTAATCGTCCTCCTGTCTAGGTGTGCGCGCCCTGGCAGTATCCCAGCACTCGTACAACCATGACCTACATAACTAACAATATTCTCATGCCACATCGACCGTCGCGTGGTGCCATCAGCCGGGCCGCCTTACTTGCTGCATACAGCAGGGCGGGTAAGCGAAAA